GCCGGAAAAAGCGATTCATTCAGTCAAAGTTGAAAAAGCTTGTTAAAATACATTTCCAAATTTGAAATGACTGAGCTCACAGAAGCCAAAACTTAGCAGGAGCGTTATAAAATAGTAAAGTTCAGTGGGTGAAGAGTAAAAGCCAGAACAGAACGCGGTTCTAGGTAGGAAGCGGTAGAAGCTAAGCAGGCAGAGACCGCTCGTATTTAGTCTCTATGACAGGTGAAGTCGACCAAATACGGCCGGAATGATAAAACTTGCTAAAAGCAATCACTGTTTTCCAAGCTTTACTTGTCTTCTCATCCGAAGTATGCGAATTAACGGCCTTGACTTCCAGGCATGGACTGGCGCCAATTAACTGTCGGAATAAATGAAAAAACCGCAAAAAGACTGCTTGTTCCAGTGGCGAAATCGAACCGTTGACCTCCAGTGATCTTTCCACTGAATCTCTCTCGAAAAACTTGCGAAAAGGCGGCTAAGAAGCCTCCACAAAGAAGAAAAGTGTATCTTGTCTTGAAAGGCAGACACACAGCAGACGTGCTGCTAGGTTGAAACTGGAGTACAAGGACTGGTGGTGTAATGGTAATACCTTGCGACCGGGTACGAACAGTAGTGGTTCGATGCCCTCCTGGTCCAGAACAGTTTTCGAGAAGGGGCACCGTATTTATGACAGTCTCAGCCAAACGTACCAAAACAGGCAGTATCGGAGTAAGCTGTCCGGTAAGTTCACATATAATGACTGCCACTGATAGCGTATGCGTTACTGCACCCGTATAAGCTGCTGCACCTAAAACAAAATCACTAATACGGTGAAAGGATGTGCTTGAAAGCCAAACATAGGATTACACGGATAAAAGAGACCCAAAATAGGCGGGTGGAGAAACTGCTGGCTGCATCGATCAAAAAAAAAGATTATCAAAGTATGCTCATCTTTTTCAAAATTATAAAAGTGACTTACAATTCAGAAACAGTGAATCTGACAACTGGTTTTAGATCATCATTTGATGAATTAAACCTTTTACTAGATTATTTCACACCAGTATTACAGCTTTCAGCTTGGATCACGGTCTAGGTCGGCAAAAGGGAGAGAGGAAGGGGGAATGGTGGGACATAAGAAAGCTGAAAATTTCCCAGTCTCGTACAAAGTCGAGATTCTGCTGATAAATTTTAACTCCTATCTTCCATAGTACTCGAGCACTTTCATAAATACGCACATACAAACACACACACGCAAAAATACGGACAAATACGGTAATATCTCTCTTTAATGCGTTTTTGTTTTATGCTAAAACGTAAAAATTTAGGATAGAAATCACCAACAACTGCATAAAGGCCAGGAAAAATAAGCGGTCCACCAGCCCCGCGAAGCCCTTCTGGAAAGAAAAACGCCATTCCTTCGCCCATTAGGCGACCACCTGCAGCGCCAATAACAAACGAAGGTACGAATACACCGGCAGGCACATTGATAGAGATGCATACTGCCACCAGAAAAAACTGAAAATTCTTTGGTTAAATTTGTGCCAAAAATGATACCGTCATTCATTTTGATGGCATGTAACGAAGATCCTGGACGAAGATGCTGGCAAAAGGACATACGTAGGTGACGAAGTAACAGGCAAGAGAGAGAAAAATGCTGATTGAGCCGTGCGCAGAGCCACCGGTCCAATGCTGGAGCAGCTTCGGACTGCACGGATGCCGACTACCGTTCGTGACATGCATTGTGCAGTTGCTGAAGAAATCGGCCATCGTTTCACGAAATGTAAGCTGAAATACAATTCATCTGCGGTAGCATCTGTGAAAGTTGCTCATATTGCGCCAAAGCCAAGCAAGCTACGAGCTTGACGCCACGAATATTTAGCAGAGAAAATGTATTTAATCAATATCACAGTCGTCATTCTGATGAAGTCAAGTTGATGAATGGGAATGCATGACTTAATCAGCCGAAACTTAATGCCTTGGTATAATTTTATATTTTTATATATGTCATAACTAAAAACTCTATTGCGGGAAACGCCGGAACGAAAGCTTGCCTGTCCGGCGATGTAGCGCCCGAAGCCCTCCGGATAAGTGAGTGCTCCGACGACCAGTGCCATGAAGATCGTAAATGTAAAGAAACTGCAACAGAATGCGCATCAGTGAAGTCACAAATGGATACTGGAAAAACGTCACTCAGCCACACATACACACATTTATACGCTTAAACATACATAGATAAGCATGCAGATACACACAAACATGCAAAAACACACATACACATAAATAGAGATCTCTGTTTAGGATAATGCATACTCAAATTTTCACAGACACAAATAAGCACAGAAAAGATAATATACCGTACTTTGATCTTCTAGCTCCAACCATTCACGGTGAAATTACCAGCGGCTGAATGCCATTTACTTAGCCCTCCAGTTTTCAGACATAAAGTAACGGAAAGGGAGTGGGAAACGGAAGTGAAGAAGGAAATCGGAGGGACTGAAGGAGAATACAAACGAGCCGCGAGGAGTTACATCTGGGTGAAGCCCTAGGCGGGACGTCCAACACTTCCTTTTTTTTCATAAGTGGTGGCCTTCCTGCCAACTTCATAAATTATTTGAGGAAAAGTCGAAGCTGTCTGCCCAAAACTGTGCAGGTTTGAGTATTTAAATCCGTACAGCCTTGTTAAATCTAGTAGTCCAACCTAGCTAAGACTATTTTAAGTCTGCTAGCTAAATCCGTACAGTTTCTTCTTGTCAAATACAAGATAAGAAACAGGCCCATTCGGAGTAGCAGTAAAAATTTGCCGCTGCAGTATTCAAGGTGAAGCTTACTTTTCGCGAAAAATCATATGATAGATTCGAG